CAAAGCCAGGATGAAGAGAAGGAGGGCTCCGAGCTCGCGCTGGGCTCGCGCGACGGGGCGCCCCCCCAGCACCCCCTCTCCCTCCTGCCCTCCGGCAGCTACGAGGAGGACCCGCAGACGATCCTGGACGACCACCTGTCCAGGGTCCTCAAGACCCCCGGCTGCCAGTCCCCCGGCGTTGGCCGCTACAGCCCCCGCTCCCGCTCCCCGGACCGCCACCACCACCACCACCAGCAGCAGCAGCACCCCCTCCTGCCGCCGGGGGGCAGGCTGCCCCCCGCCGTCGCCTCCCTGGCCGGCTGCACCCTGCTGGGCGCCAAGGGCTTCGTGACCAAGCAGACGACGAAGCACGTCCACCACCACTACATCCACCACCACGCTGTCCCCAAGACCCAGGAGGAGCTCGAGGCAGAGGCCGCGCAGAGGGTGCGCTGCTTCTGCCCCGGGGGCCCCGAGTACTACTGCTACTCGCGATGTAAAAGCCACCCCCGGGCTCCGGAGCCGGGGCCCGCGGACCAGTTCGGGTAAGTGTGGGCAGACCCGACTGTCCGGCGGGGTCTTCTCTGCAGACCAGCTGGGGGGTGGGGTCAGAGGTCACAGGCATTCCACTCCCGGGAGGGAGGCCCAGGGTGTGTGATGGGGCAGGGGGAGCAGGTGCATGTCACCTCACTCCCTGCCTGTCTGTCGGTCCGACTCGGGGAGACTCAGAGATGTAACGTGCCCTGGGCGGGTGTGGTCTTGGGTCCCCACAGCGGCAGCAGAGGCAGTACCCTGCCCAAGCGCACCGGCCGAGGCTCGGAGCCCGGCCTGGCACTGCCCGCCAGGGAAGGAGCTGGGTCCCTGCAGCTGCCCGGGGAGGAAGGAGACAGGTCGCAGGACGTCTGGCAGTGGATGCTGGAGACTGAGCGACAGAGCAAGGCCAAGCCCCATAGGTAAACACCGCAGCCGCCACTGGGCACCAGGGTTGGGGCAGTCACCATGAGGCATTGTAGGGATGGCTATTTTTGCAGTCGGCCAGAAACTAATGTGACAGGACTCTCTGCTTCTGCCATCTTAATATTAAAGGTTGGACTGAGCAGACCACAAAAATGCCATGTTTTTGGCAGTGCCTCCTGTTCGTGTTATGGTAGTTATTTTTTTCTTCTTTCTGAAGGCAGAATAGAGAAATTTCTCTTGAAGTCACATTTTCCAGTTTTTCTAACCCAATTCCTTTCCCTCTGCTTTCTCTCTCCTTATTCCATGTTCAGTGCCCAAAGCACAAAAAAGGCCTACCCCTTGGAATCGACCCGTGGGTCCCCGGCGGAGCGAGCAGGCCGGCACCACTTGTGGGGGGGCCGTGCCCACCCGTTTACCCAGGACCCTGCGATGCCTCCCCTGACCCCACCCAACACCCTGGCACAGTTGGAGGAGGCCTGCCGCAGGCTGGCTGAGGTGTCGAAACCCCCAAAGCAACGGTGAGTGGAAGAGGCATCAGGGGTGCAAGGCAGGGGTCAGATATGGACGTGGACACCTGGCCTGTAGCTAAGGGAAGGGTCTTTTTCTGCTGCATCTGGATCCTTCCTCAAGGAGGAAGAATCGCTTCTGGCCACATAAGATTCACCTTTCCAACCTCTAGAACGTGTTCCCTTTGGTGTCGTTCATTGTAGAACTAACCAGGACGTGTTTAAGTCATGCTTAAAAGGAGACGACTTCAGTGATTGCTTATAAACGTCTGGATCATTTAAGGCTGGTTAGATGAGTGTATAAGAAGCCGTGACTGATGAGGAATCCTGGGACCTTCTACCCTTTGCCAGGGCTGGCAGTTTCCAGTCCTGGGCCCCCAGGAAGCTTAGGGTGGCTGTTGCCAAGATGCCTTCCAGGCGTCCGAGAGCCACTGTTAACACAAGGTGTTAGTTAGGTCTCCCCATGGATGGAAGTCGGGTCTGTGTAGGAGGCCACAGAGAGTAGTTTTCTGTCTACTCCCCATCTGCCCTGGGGCTAGAAGGCTTACCTCTGAATCCTTTGTTCTGGCTGTGTCCTCAGGTGCTGCGTGGCCAGTCAGCAGAGGGACAGGAATCCCTCAGCCACGGGTCAGACAGGAGCCACACCCTTCTCCAGCCCAAGCCTGGCTTCAGAAGAGTGAGTGTCTTTGCCTGGCATTGCTCAGATCCACCCAGTGGTTTACGTTTCAGCGTGTTCACTCTCCACAGTTGTGATTTTTGAAAACTTTTTTTAGTATATAAAAATCACTTTGATTTTAGTGTTAGTGAACACAGATGTTGCCATAAATTAGGATCTCGAAAACCCTGCCTGTACTGAGCGACACATCGTGACTTGTACCCAAGTGTTCCTTCCTGAAGTGATGGATGGCTCGGGGTTCCTGGGCACACACTCATCAAAAGCTGAGGCATGAAGTCATTGGCAGGTGGGGGAAAGGGACCCTAAACCCGGATGGAAAAGCTGCCCGCACTCCGCTTGCAAGTTAGCAGGTTGGAAACCTCTTTGGGTCACACTGAGTGGGGAGGTGGTGCCTCCACCATTGCAGAGATGGAGAGACGATGATCTTTGCTCTGCTTGGGGAAAACTGTGTCCCCCCTAATCGTCCATGATTCATTTCGTAAATTTATGCTTTTGCAAAGTGGACAGAGAAGCCTGGCTTCTCGTTTAATTACAGGGTGGTGCATTTAAGAAGGTATCTGCTGCAGAGATCTAAAATGGTCTAAGTAATTTTAAAATATTTTTCTTAGTTTATCTTGAGCAATGAGCAAATGTTTGAAGTCCTGAATAAGCCACCACCCTGGACCCTTTTGTTTTAATTGGTTGACCTTAGCCTCCCAGCTGTTTGGGCCTGCAGCTTTGTTTTTTTAAGCCACTCTACAAAAACGCAGAATGAATGGGGAAGTTGGGAAGACTGGAGCTTACCCATAACCCAGTGGGCCGTAGTGTCCCGCGTCCCTGTCCTCCTTGCCCTCTCAGGAGGTGCCCTGAGTTGGTCTCTACAGCACAGCCTGGTCAGGGTGAGCATCCCTGTGGCTGTCAGAGCTTCTCCTCTCTCGTCTCCATGGCAAGAACCCCATTCGTGCCAGCCTGAAAGAGACTACTCTGTCCCCCCATTCAGTGGTAGAGAAACAGGAGCAGTTGGTACAGCCCAGGAAATTGTCCCTTCTCGTGTGCGTCATGCAGGTGACCTGGGGTTGGGCTGTGTCTCCAGCAGAGTGACTGGCTCCGATATGGGGGCCTCACACCCAGGTCGCTTTTGAGCTCACAGCTACAGCCTCGCTTTACCTCTGAAGGCAGCGTTTGGAGCGTGTGTGTGTGTGTCTGCTGCCTTCACGTGCCGAACTTGTGTTCCATCATCTTATTTTCAGTCACAAAGAGCCAAAGAAACCAGCAGGCGTCCATGCCCTCCAGGCCAGCGAGCTGGTCGTCACCTACTTTTTCTGCGGAGAAGAAATCCCGTACAGGAGGATGCTGAAGGCTCAGAGCTTGACCCTGGGCCACTTTAAAGAGCAGCTCAGCAAAAAGGGAAATTACAGGTACGAGCCCTGCGGCTTCTTTCTGCTCCAGAGTTCGTTTGCTCAGAACCCAGAGCCAGAGCCTTCCCTGGCCCGGCCAGGCCTGGGAGTGGCCAAGAGGGAAGGGCCTTGGGACGGGCTCAGGGCAGCCGTGGGGGCGGGCTGCCCGACGCTCGGTCCCTTCTCATTTCCCCTCCTGTCACCACTAACAAATAACTGAGCAGCAGCAGCTGAGAGGGGCTCTGGGAACCTGGAGGAGTTTTTCTCTACCAGGCGAACAAGACGCTGAGTTTAAAGGGGACACTTTGCTTTGTCAGAGGCGAGCTGGGCTGGGGCCATCTGTGGAGCCTCTGCCTGCAAGGGAGGTTGGTGCAGGGTGGGGAGAGGGAGACAGACAGACACACAGATGGGCAGACCCATTCGGAGACTGCTGTCCTGGCTCGGGTGTCGAGGAGGGGCCGTCCGCACCAAAGGCTTTGGGAAGGGCAGAGACCACCGCCTGGAATGTAGGCAGCGTTCTCCTCACTCAGCCTTCTGCCCGGAGACCGTCTCACCCTGTGTCGTGGGTCATGGGATGGAGGAACTCTCTTTTGTCCATAACAAAGAGGCGGCAGGACCTGCGCGCGCGGGTGGGCGCTGGGTGGACAGGGCTGGCCACGCTTCTCGCCGGGACCTTGGGAAGGGACCTCGCCTTCGGGGCTTCCCTTCCTGGTCTGCACAGTGGAGATGCCCCTGCCTCCCCGCGCCCTGGAAGGGTAAAGAGCTGAGAGCCAGCCCTGGGCCATTTCTTGTTCACTTTCCCCTGACACGGGACAGGTGATGACTTCACCTGAGCTCACCTAGAGTCCTACCTGCCCTTCTCGATGGCCCTCATCCCAAGGGAACATGTGGGTTCTGCTCCATCTGTATCTCAGGTCCGGTGTGCAGGCCGGGACAAGGGAGAGGCAAGTGAGGTGCCCAGCCCACAGTTGAAGGAGCGGCACCGTGCGTGCCCAGGAGGTGCCCACCCATCCCGCCTCCAGGTGAGGATGGAAGTGGAGAACTCTCATGGCACTTAGCAGCCTGCCAGGTGGGCACCGGCTCCTGGGCCCCAGACCCGCCCCTCCCCCAGCGGGCCCTGTGTAGTTTTACAGCCACCTCCACCGGGAGCTGATTCGGGCAGGGGCCCAGAGTGATTCCTTTGTCAGGGGAAGGTTCGGGGCTCTGGCCGGGGCCCCGTAGGTGACTGACGAGCAGGGTGGCATGGAGCCGGGCTTGCATCTTTCCCTTCTACACCTGGGCAGAGACCGTTCTGAAAGTGTATCAAAGGGATTGAGGAACAGGCCCCGCTTCTTTTTCTATCTCGAACAGACACAAGGTGAAACTAATTACACAAGCGTGCCCCTCCGGGGATCCATTCTGATCTCAGCTTTGACCCAGCGGGACTCTGAGTGGAACTGCAGGTGACCTGCGGGGAGGAGGGCCACGGCCGTGGAGCAGAGGGGCCGCAGGGGAGGCTCGGAGCTCAGCCCTCCGGCCACATCTGGCTCTGATTTTTTTTCCGAGGCACACTTAATAAGCCTGGCTTTGAAGCCCCGGCCTCCCCTTTAATGCACAAGGACGCGCACAAATGGTCGACGCTGGAATTCTTTACTGATGGGATCAGGCTGTGGCCCGGCCCTTTCCAGCCCCTTCTCTCTCTGTGCTCGCTCTCCGGGCTAGAGCCGGACTCGCTGTCCTCCTGGGTTGTGGGGCCACAGGGTGCCATGCCTCGTGCCCGCCCCCTCCCCCACCCGCAGGGGTGGTGCTCTGACGGTTAATGCGCACCCCCTCCCACAGGCCCCCAGTAAAAAGCCCCGTGAGGCTGGGGCTGTGGAGCAGGGGACCCGGGCTGCATTGAGTAACCTCACTGTGGCAGCGGTTCACAGGGAGAGCGGCCCCTCCAGACGTGCCAGACGCGATTGGTGCCAGATGTCAGAAGAAAGCAAAGTTTGCCACATAAAGCATGTTGCAGTGGAAAAGCCCGTTTCTTGGAGAAAGTGAGGGCAGCGAGCCCTTTTGATGTCTCGGGGGCGGGGCTCCGGGAGCGTCCCCTCCCTCTCTGGGAGAGGTTGCAATTATGGAAAAGGTCGTTGCACGGTTGCCATGAAAGCCCCACTCGGGGAGCGCGAGGTGAGCTGGGGGCCGAGGGTGGCGTCGGAATTGCAGCCCCGACTCGGAAAAGTAACTTTTTCCTGCTGTCCGGGGTCGCTTGTGCCGAGTACCCGCTCCCCAGTTTCTCGCCGTCTCCCCCAGATAAGTCTGAGCCCCTCTGTGTGAAGCGTGTTCACCATGGGCCCACCAGAGCTGTGCTGTTCACCCCGATGCTTTGGCTCAGCCGGGAACGCTAAAAACAAAGAACCTTGACTAAACCCAGCTGTTTCACTTAACTTAGCCTTATCTCCTATGAAAGTATTTGGCTTGCCTTCATTAAAGAAAAAAACGTAGCTCTAACCAAGGGGAATTAATTTTTTTTTTTTTTCCAGAGGAAAGATAAAAACCAAAAAACAACCCATAACCCTGAGACAATTAAATATTTTAGAGAGGCTGTCCACCTCCACCCAGGGGACTGTGACCCTCTCTCTGTGAGTGGCCCTTTATTGCTTGAAGGTGACAGCTTGTGGGGGCAAGTTTAATCCGACTGAGGGGTCTTGGTCTCTGGGGACAGGGAGGGACGAGGACTTTGCTTCGTTTCCTCGGGAGGGGCCTGGGAGCCGGCGGGGCCGTTGCTTCCAGAATGGGTCTCTCCTGAGAGAGACTGGTCATTTGAGTCCATACAATTAAACAGCCTTAGAAGAAAGAAGGCTGGGTGGGATGAAAGAAGCCTTTAATCAACGGGCATAATAGAAGGGCCCTTAGTGTTTGACCTTGGAGGGGTGGGTGAGAGAGGAGGGAGGGAACCAGGGGAAGAGGGGCTGGTGTTGTCTGCTACCCTGGGAAGCAGGACTGCCTCCTGCAGTGGCTGTCCCATGGCCATGCCAGAGACCGGCTGGGAGAGCTGGCACTTGGGCACTGCATAGTGGGAGGGGCGAGAGGTGTCAGCCTCCAGACCGATCAAACCAGCCAAAGTCTGCCTTCCACAGACTTCTACGGATTCAGGCTAGGAGTCTGGGGTCTCTTTGAGGGGACCCCCTTTTTGGTGGCTGCTGCAAATGAACTCTGGGCCTGCTTTGCCCTTCCCTCCCCCGCCCCCCGCCCCCCCAAAAGAGGGAGAGAAAGGAGCAGCTCTGTTCTGCAAAGTGCACTTTTCACAACGTGTGTGCTCATCGGTGGCTGCAGCAGTTCTGGGCTGACGACAGCAGCCTCAGAGCTGTTTGCAGGGGGAGCCCGCCCAGGCCGCTGCTCCCGGGGGGCCCAGCTTCCTCCCGAGTGACCCAGGCCTGCCGGTTTGTGCCCGTCGGCCAGCCCAGGTAGCCGTCTAAATCGGATAAGGGCGAAGGCCGAAGGCCATAGGACAGCTCTCAAGATAACGCGTCCTCAGGGCTCACTTAGCGCTTCTTCTAAAGTAGAAAATGCACGTTTTCGAAGACGCTCTTTGGGTTTTCCTTTTAAGGTATTACTTCAAAAAAGCGAGCGACGAGTTTGCCTGTGGAGCGGTTTTCGAGGAGATCTGGGACGACGAGACGGTGCTCCCCACGTACGAAGGCCGGATCCTGGGGAAGGTGGAGAGGATCGATTAAGCCGCCTGGGTCTGGCTTCGGCCAGGCGCAAGGCCGCAGCCTGCGGGAATGGTTCCGGACGTTCGCGACCGCGAAGGAACATTTCGAAGGAAACAAACAAACAAACAAACAAACCAATGAAGACACAGTCTAGGGATGAATCGGCCGCTGGGCCTTTGGGAGGGTGGTGGGGGGAGGTTGGTTTTCATTATTCACGAGCTGGGTACTGAGATAAGAAAAGCCTGAACTATTTATTAAAAACATGACCACTCTTGGCTATCGAAGATGCTGACTGTATTTGAGAGACTGCCATACATAATATATGACTTCCTAGGGATCTGAAATCCATAAACTACGAGGAACTGTGTATAGCTTACCTGAACAGGAATCCTTACTGATATTTATTGAACAAAATGATGACCCCTGTCCTGGGTTTATGGATATGCTGCTTTAAACAGGAAGGGGGAGAGAGGGAGGTTTCCGTCGTCCCCTCCACACTGAGGAGCGGAGCTGGGAGTGCGTTAATGGTTTCTTCATTGAAAGAGGAATTAAGCTCTGCCCTGCGTTTCTCCAAGTGAAGACAGACTTTTTTTTTTTAAACGGTGCCCTGCCATTGACACACGCAGAAATTGGTGCATTTTTTTTTTCTATGCTGCTCTATTTTGTCATAAAGGTCTTGAGGTTTGCCTTCCATTACATCATCACCGCCATGTGGGGGGGTCATTATTTAGGGGGCGACCCCTTGCAGAGGAGGGCGGAGCCTCACGGGGAGGGGCCCCGGATTCACCCTAGTAGCTCCCTACCGGGGCCCGGTGCCTGGCGGCTGAGGCCCGCTAGTACCTCCTGGTTCACCTCGTGCTCTTCTCGAAATCATAGCTCCTTGGAGTTTGTTTTTTTCCCCTTTAATTAGTCTTTGTGCCACAGCCATCCTGGAAACCAGCCCCCTGCCCTGCACAGAAGCGAACCGTGTGGGACGGCCTAGCAGCACCCTTGCCCCCACACACCTTCATCCTGACGTTCGGGTTTTCGTGTTAAGTTAATCTGTACATTCCGTTCGCCATTGTTACCTGTACTATATGTCTGTATATATCGTATGACAGAGTATTAATCCACTATCTCTAGTGCTTGACTTTGAATCAGTACAGTACCTGTACCTGCACGGGGTCCCACTCCGTGTGTCGCCCTATATTGAGGGCTCAAGCTTTCCCTTGTTTTTTGAAAGGGGTTTATGTATAAATCTATTTTATGCCTTTTTATTACAAGTCTTGTACTCAGTGACTTTTGCCATGGCATTTTCTTCTACTTATACTGTAAATTATGCATTATAAAGAGTTCATTTAAGGAAGATTACTTGGTACAATAATTATTGTAATTAAGAGATGTAGCCTTTATTAAAATTTTATATTTTTCAAAACGTTGGCCTCGTCTTCGAATCCCCGGGGGGCGGGGAGCAGGGCGCAGGGCAGAGGCGCCCTTTCTTTACGTGAGTATCTGTGCTTAGTGTCTCACCTGCTCGAGCCCCTCTCTAACGACCCCAGTCTGGGGTTTTTAAAAACGATCTCTTCACCTGGGTGCTGGCCGAGGGTTTTCTCGTCGTGGACCAGGCCGCAGACAGCACTTCCTCTGATGTCCTACCAGCCACAGTCGGCCACTTGCACTTCAGTAGGCGTCTCGGGGGTGAAAAGCTTCTCAGAAAACGGTGTGTAGTTGTCGAATGTCCGGTGAGCTCATTGCTGACCAGCCACCTTCCCAGCGGCTGGGTAGCACTTGACCGATGGCCTCGGGGAGGGTCTGGGCTGGAAAGGTGGCAGGAGCAAACGGCAGGTGGTTCCGGAAAGGAACATGGGCAGTTTCTGCAGAGCAGTGGACGGTTTAATGTGCGTGGCCGTGGAAGTCGGCGGGCGGTTTGCTCCGCGTCCATGCACCTTGCCCTGTGCTAGAGCCCCTGGGGGGCCAGACTGTATTTCGCATTAGGAGAGAGGGTCTGTGTAAAGGAGGCCTGTGATGAACTTCCCAGAAACAAAGGGCCTGTGATGGCAGTTGGACTTGATGTCTCATGTGCTGAGTTTTCAGGAGGTGGGGTCTGAAGCGGATCTGGTGGTTCCTGCTGCAAACTGGTGTGAGGCCAACGGGTTAGATTAAGGAGAGGCCCTGACTGGGGCCGGGCGCCAGCTTGAACTGGACAGTGTCGAGGCGTCTGGGGCGGCTATTTGGGGAGTAGGCGAGGCTATGTGGGAGCTGGACACCAGGCTGTAAGATTCCTCCCTTGGTTTTGGTCCTAATGATGCAGTTTGCTGCACCCTCCTCTCCAGGCTGGAATGGGGTCCTGCTGCAGGGGTATCCCAAAGCCACATTCAGAAATGTTAGGCTCTAACCCAAGAGAGATACAGCCTGCTGTGTGTGGTGGGGGTGAGGGGTTATGGATTTTAATCTTCGAGACTTTGAGTTGGTTTATCCAATGAGAATGATGAGGTAAAACAGGCTTGGGGCTCAGACTAACCTGGGCTCAAGCCCCTGAGCCGCCGCCACCTTCTGGGGGACCATCAGCATCTGTGAGAGAAAGCCAGACTGGCCATCGCCCATGTTTGTACCTCTTCTAAGAGGGTCTGTTTCTCTACTGCTCTCACTTTAACGACCAGGTGCCCTTCACCTGGCGTGGGTGGGCTTCTGGGATGTGGGCCCCTGACATGGCAGAATCACCTGTGCCTTCCTCTGAGGAGAGGGCGTATAGTTTTATTAGATCCTTAAAGGGATCTGCGACTCAAAAAGCTAAAACATCGCTTGTGCTGTCAGCCCTTTTCTTCCCTCTCCCCGAGTCATGTAAGACCCAGCTCTTCCAGAAACCCCTCTCCCTCCTCCAGCCCCTGGGGTCTCACCTGGGAGCTGGTGAGTCATAGTCACCCACCCCAAACTGACAGACTGGACAAGACTTGTGCGTTTCCAGCCTCTCCAGGTGACACCTGGGCCCGTCAGTGTTTCTCTGCTTTAGTCTTTGGGGATCCAACCCCTTCTAGTCCCAGCTTCGAGTCGGACTCACCCCCTTAGTCCTCATCTCCTAGGCACTTTCCATGGGCTCTGGCCTTATTTCTCTGATGATTAACCGACTAATCAGCAGTGAAGTGCAGACTGCGGAGCTGAGTCCACTTCAGGTTGTGTCTCATCGGGGAGCCACAGTTTCCTCATCAATTAAGTGGGGATAATAAATGTGCTCACCTTCGAGGGTTACTGTGATGAAGAGAGGTGACCTGGCTTAGCATCTTTGTCGGGGCCTCGGGACTGCTGGCAGCTCTGTCCTCATGACCTGCGATATCAGCTGCTCCTGTGGAAACATCACCCCCCTCCACCCTTGCTGTGATATCTGGACTCTGGCATCCTGCTTCTGCTCCTGGTGCAGGACCAAGAAGGTGGTGGGCAAACAGGCTGGCAGGCTGCTCGATTCGGAAACGCTTCCAGCTAGAGCCGAATCTTGGCCCAAAGCATCTTACATTTTTCTTGAGTCAGTCTGTGACCTTATGCTATCCTTGGAAATTCTATGTGGACTCTCACCGACATTTTGTGTAGAGCGGCCGGAAATGGGGGTTCTGGAGAAAGGAAGTGCTGTTTTTCTCTCCTCCCTCCCCAGAACACGGTGGGACCATAATCATGCTGTCAAAAGGAAGGAAATTGGCAATTTCCCCAAAGAAAATGTTCTGTCTATTTGAATGAATAGGTAAGATTTTTTTTTTCTTGTTATTTTGGTAAAGAAAAATGTTTCTTTTTTCCACTGTTAGTAAATAATTTGGTTGTATTGAAACTTTCCAAATGACCCAGATGTTTCAAAAGAGTGATTTACATCTTAACAATTATTTCACTTTATCCACCTAAAAATCTGATAAGAGAGTGAGCGCCTTCTGGCCTCTGTGACTTGTCCCAGGAAGTAAGTAGTAGTGACTTGGTTTAAACAAATAAACAGTTAGCACATGCACACACGTACACACAAACACCGCCACACACAAAACATACGGCCGCACACGAAAAGTTTTTTAAGGCATTTTGGTAAGTGCTGGCTGTCACCAGAATTATCCCAGGGAGTAGCCATGGCTGTCTCTGTGCCTGAACAGGTGGAGTTTGCCCAGAACCTTAGGTCTGGCAGCTTAGGAGACATCTGTGTGCACATGCGTGTGCATGTGTGTGCGTGTGTGTGTGTGTGCAGGACTGTGCTTTAGAAAGGGTCCGCCACAGAAAGAACAGTGCCATGAACAGGGGGTTCTTCACCTTGCCAATGCCCAGTTCTGAAGACATAATCAGCCTGAGTTCCAACCACACTGACCCATTGACCCGTTAGTTCTCAAGGGCTCTGCTGCTCAGGGCCTTTGCATATGCCGTTCCCTCTGCTGGGCATCCCGCCCACCCCGCCCAACCCCACATACACACAGCCTAAGTTCGTCTTAACTTTCTAAGTTCGTCTCCTTTTCAGCCCTCAGGTCTTGACTTAAATGTCAAAGGTCTTCTCTGACCTTCGGGTCCACATGTGTCCTCACTTGATCCTCTCCATCTCCATCACAGGACTTGATTCTTTCCCCGAACGATACAGTAATTACTTAATTGCCCGCTTATTCATCCATAAGGTAGGGAGGAAACATGCTTGTATTCACCCTTGTATACAGCGTTCGGCATCCGGCATGGTGACCGGCATCGACTAGTCACTCAATATTTATAGAACTGAAGCAAAAATAAAAATAAAAATAAAAATAGCCTATAGAAGTAGGACCTAAGATTAAGGCAACCACTCTTAACACTTTGCAACACCCGTCCGGGTTAAACTACATAAACACACACACACGCACATGCACACACGTGACCGTATAGTGTACACTATTTTGTGATCTGCATTTTTCACTCAATAACATGTCATTGGCATATTTGCATATCAATAAATATTTTTTATATTCTACAACATGACAAATGTATGGCTGAACTATCATTTATGTAACAAGTTACTTATGGTTGGGCATTTCTTTAGTTTCCAAAGGCTGCAATTATAGGTCATGTAATGAAATCTTTATAGCTAAACACTCCCTCTCTTTAGTTTCCAAAGGCTGCAATTATAGGTCATGTTGCAATGAAATCTTTATAGCTAAACACTCCCTTGGAATGCAAAGTCTTTAATTATTAGAATGAAGGTTTTTCATGTAGAATTTCTGGATCAATGGTCCTTTTTAGGGCTTTGGCCACATCCTGCCAGACTGTCCGAGGCAGCGGCGTACTTGTCTCTGAATCCCCAGTGCTTTGCACATGATCAACACCCAAACCATGTTTGTGCCATCGATTTAAATCTCCAGCCTGGATAGTCAAGGCTCTCTTCAATCTGAGCCGAGCCTGCCTTCCTGGCGTTATTTCCACTTACAAGCTAAGCTGAGTAGCCTTGAGCAATGAACTTCCCTCTACCTGGGTTTGCCTCTTCGTAAAATGAGGATGGTCGTTCTTCACAGTGCTGATGCGAGTTGCTAAGGCGAGCGCCATTCTTAAAAGAGAATCTGGCCCATGATAAGGGCCCCACACCTGTCAGGTGCTCTCACTGCCTCCGGGCTCCACCTTCTGGTCTTCGTGCCTGACTCTGCTCAGCCCTTCTCCCTCCTGGCTCTCACCTGTGTCATGTGAGGCCAAGCTGACCCCCCATGCTTCTCCCTCCCCTGCCCCAGCCTTCTCCCTTCTCTCTCAGGGCCCTAGTGGACTCTGGTTTTCTCGGGTGCTGAGCCTATGCTCACCTTTTTTGCTTTTTCCTCCCCTGAGTTGTAAGCCGCATTGAGAGTAAGGCCTACGACTGAAACCTTAGGGAAAATTCATCCAGATACCCTGTGACCAGACCATACCATCCTCCTTCAACCAACATCTGACTTCGCTCCATCTTCCCCAACTTGATTTTGGCTCAAATTATGTTTGGGGAACCCCTGTTACTGAGCCTCTCGTGCTGCTTGTATCAGACATGGTATGTGGAGAGGGTCAGGGGGACGATCCGACGGTGGTGGAGGTCGAGGGCTGGCTTTCTCTCCTATCCTCTCCCACGATCTTGACAAGAAAAAACTGGAAATTAGCTGTGTGTGATGATGTGTCATTTAGGCTTGCTAGATTTAGCAAATTAAAATGCAGGATGCTCACTTAAGTTTAAATGTCTAATAAACAGTAATTCTTCAGTATAAGTATGTCCCATGCAATAGTGGGGCCATACTTACACTAGAAACATATCTGTTTATCTGAAATTCAAACTTGGTTGGGCATCTGGCATTCAACCTGGCAATGCCAGTTGTAGTGGATGCTGTAAACTGCCCATTCAACCGTCCTCCCTCTTTATTTCCAACGTGCTTTCTTGCACTGCAGAGGTGGGAAATCTAAACGCCACATTTTCCAGACCGCTATGTGTCCATTTAGGTTTGC